GTGTGAAGACCCAGCAGTCAAATCACCTCTGTTCGATAGAGGCACGTTACTCTGCTTGGGAGTGTGCAAATTTTCAGGAGAAGAAGCTCCGCCCCCCCGCCCTTCCAAGTTGCAGATCCTTAACATCACATACACCTCTGCTAAGCAAAAAGGTACCCTTTTCATCCATAGAATATGGTACATATTTCTTTTACCTACAGAAGTGTTGGTTCATCACCGAGCGACTTTGCCTTGACTGTTCTCTATTTCTCCTAATTTACTTAAATGCCTCTTGGTGAGAAACTTGAAAGGTGCTATGTCACGAAATTAACAAACCTCAAACAGTTAAAGCTGCTCAAAACATTACAAAAGGACAAAGAACACAGCAAATACAAAAGAAGGAACGGACGGACACAGAAGAAGATTGAAACGAATAGCAATTGCGGTTCTTAAAAACTTGTAAGCCTAGCAGTTTTTCAAAGGTCATTTTTGTTATTTTTCAAGTTTGATATAATGCTTTGTGAGAGATGTTTGTATGATACGAAGCTGTGATTTTGCTACTTACAAGTAAATACCGTAAAATTCCGAAAATAAGCCCCTCCATGTATAGGCCCCTCCAAATATAAGCCCCTAAAAATCGTAACCCAAAAAACCCTCCGTTAAATCGCCCCTCCGAATATAAGCCCCCCAGGGGGTTTGTACTTGGAATTTGCCCTCGAATACAAAGTAAAACAAAGGAAAAATGGTTAATTTCCTTCTCACTACAAGGTCTGCAACCTAGCCCAATCGATTTTGAAACGCAAATTTCCTTTCGTACATAAGCCCCTTCGAAAATAAGCTCCTCCAAAAATGTACCCCTCAAAAAGGGCCTTTGAAAAATATAAGCCCTAGGGCTTATTTTCGGAAGTTTAAACGCCGTGTATTTCACATTCCTTAGCTAATAAAAACGCGTTATTGGCAATCTGATCAACCTAATGAACTAGAACTGCCGTGACACATGCCGTCCTTTAAAAAAACTGGCGATGCAACTGCCTTATATGGTAGGTTACCGAATTTGTTTCTTTTCTTCAATTAACTCTGGTACTACCCTTGGGCCGGTTTTTTAGCGATCCCACCGTATTCCGGCGTGCCAAGGCTGACGATGTTTACAGACTTTTTCAATAATGGCGATTTTCAGATAAATAGTTGTTCCCTTTTCTATCTTTTGATTAAGGTGGTAGAATGGTCCTTGTTCAGTTCGCTGTAGACGATGAAGGACAGTATCTAGGAGCAACGAAAAATGTCCCCGTTTCCATGCATCGAACTATGAGAGACTTGTGGAAAGGACTCCTTGACGAGGGCCTCATAACGCAGGTCAGATGTTCTCTCCTCAACTATTGTTACCCACCGAAATCCAGTCAAGCAACCAGCAATAAAATTAAAAATTAATAAAGTTATTCGGAATCTTGGTTCAGTCTTCCCTTCGCGCTGTTGTCGTGCTCCACGTTGTTGTTGATGATGTTTTAGGGGGAGGGGCATGTGCACTTGGCTACTATGAGTGGTGTTGCATGATTAGCCGCGCACAGTTTATGTTCCTAATAAGCGGACAATTTTTGCCTGATTCCTAATCTGATTTAGACTTTCTCTGGTTGAAAACCTTTTTTTCTGTAATTGTCGAAAAATACGTTATCTTAAAAGCTCATATTCTACCTTAAATGGGCAATAAAACAATCAATTTGCTTCATCGGTTGGTGGACACGGCGAGTGATTCATCTTGTTGACAAGAAAATTTCTCTCTTTTTGCAGGAAGAGTTTCACCGGACTACGTTTGTCAATTACTATCGGACTGTAGAAGAGTTCAAGACCCCATTTGAATCATCGGATTCTCCCGTAAGCATGGCTGGTCTGTCGCTGGTTTCCATAGAAACCAAAGTAGTACCATGCCCTTATAGGGAAAAGTGGATGCAAAATCGGGGTGACCCAGCAAAGCATGCGCGGTGGTTTATGCCAACAACGAGGACATGGAGTAATGCTACGTTTACTTCCGGTAAGAGAAAAGTTGCCCCATCAGACATAAATTGTTAACTCTTTATCAGATATAGAAATAATATAGAAATTAAGCATTAATTTCTGTTGCTTTTTTCTTTATGAATTGTTCGTGAGGTTTCGAAGTTGTATTAAAGTATATTTTATGAATTGATTAGCAAGAAAATTAGCAAATATATATCAGCCGGTTTCTCTGAAATTCCCCTTCGAAAAGCTTGTTTCATTGTTGTAACCTTACTTAAAATTTAAAAATTTGGGTTCTACTTTTTTTAAATGCGCAACTTCTTTTTAGTAATTGTAAGCAAGACCAGGCTACTCGTAGGGGAAAGCTGTTATAATACAAACACTTTCCATGAGTTGCGTCAACAGTAAGAGTTTATGATTTCCATGATTTTTGGTAGTTAGTGCTTTGCTTTAGTGGCCTGGCGACAGCCTTGGTAAATTATTTGTGTTATTCTTTATGTGATTTAAAATTATCGGTACATAACTTGCGTGTTGCTGTTAATATCTTCCTTAGCACTGTCAGATTTTCGATCACCTGAAGAAAAGGCTACCATCGTTGATCAATTCTTCAAGCGGTACGAAATAGAGGTGGCCAAGCGCCCAGAGGACCACGGGATGGATTATGTTCATGCCTACATAGTTATTGCGAAGAACTGAGAGACACTCACTCCACTTACCAACCCTAAGTGGGTAAGCCGTCATCATGAAATTCAGTCTCTTTATCATGTAACAGCTCTTGGACCGTCCAAGCGTACTTTCATGTTAGGGCATTGAAATAAAATAGAAATTCTATTTGCAGTCCATTCGTGAAGCCTTCGTACTTTTACTGAACAACCCTCGTCTTCTAGTTAGTTTAAACATAGACTTCATTCCAGCCTTTTGAGCGCCAAGGTCACGGTCCCCCAAAACGGCTGGTAATCGAGCCCACAATATTTCCGATCACGTGGTCCGAGCGAGTTTTCTTTTCGAATACGTCACCGAAATGCATTGACCGAGAGGGCCAGGAAAGAGGCCGTACAGGCACTAGGTCAAGAAGTCTCTAGAATTTCACGTTACACTCTTAATTTGGTCACCCTTCCTTTTTTGTATTTTTGATCGAGGAGGAGGGCCGCAGCCTAGACCAGTCAATCTGGTTTTCTCTCGGAAACTCGTTTTTTCGAGTGCTCACATCTGTTTATTGATAAACCGATGGTCATAACCGAACCCGCTGTAGAAAGCGCACAGCTATGAGGCCTGGGTTTGAAACTATATCCTGGTATTCTCGTCCCAATAGCCACTAGGATTAATTTGTAACGAAGACCACGTGAACGACACGTGAACACGAATCGACGGGCCCTGGGGACGAGACTGATATTCTAGCAACATGCCACGCTTTGCTTAACAAAGGTCTTTCTCAATTCATGCAGTTCTCGAGTTCAGCCAATAGAAAAGCCCTGCTGGTAGGGTGTAATTCGCTTCTCTCCTCGCCCAATTTTTTGAGCCACACGTATTTAGAAATAGTTTGATGACCGCACTGTTCAAGGCAACATTGGCGAAACCAGTGGTCAGGAGGCAAAATGTTGGCTGTTTTTTCTGGCTAACGTACCAGCCGAGGAGCACCGACAGCATCGTTGGGCGTTGGATGTCGGAAAATAATACTCGTTTTCATGCAAAACTGAATGCTGTGATTTTTATTGTCCACCTTCCATAGTGTACTTATAAAGCCGCAGCAACAATAATATGCACTTAGGAAAACAAGTGCAGGCATTGCTTTAAATAAAACATTTTTGCAAAAAATAAACATTCATGGCAATAATTTCTGACAATACGTCATGACTAAGACATCTGGCGCTGAACTTCATTCATCAGAGACAAACACAACGAGTGAATAATTTGCTTTAAATTCAAGTTTTTAGCGACTCAATGTTAGAGCACTCTTTCACTCCAGTCTGCACTCCTCTTGTTCTGCTCTTGAAAACATATATCACCCATGTGACATCGTTTGTAATTTTCTTTTAAATATCTTATTAAGTACACAAGTAACACAACTTTCTGAATTAACTACGGTTAACGCAAAACTGAATTATTTTAAGGCCTGTTTACAGGGAGGTGGAGGATCCCAGGTGAGGTAGCCGCTTAATAGCTGGAGTAACATGCCAGTCCATAGTATCTCTCATATGGTCACCCAGCCCACCTACCATGTAAACGTGATCAAATTAAAATGAGAGATCATATGGACAGGTGGGTGAACCCACCTAAGCAGGTTACCTCACCTTCCTGGGCTCCCCCACCTCCATGTGACCAGGCACTAAATTTTTAATGTCGACCCTCTAATTTTACTTTTAACACCACAGCGCTAGCAAGAAAAATCTGTAGTTGAGAACAAGTTCATTCCTTGTTTTTGCTTTAGATACGCCGTTTGCTAAGATAAATATTCACCACAATAGAGGGTTTCGTTAANGGTGGGTGAACCCACCTAAGCAGGTTACCTCACCTTCCTGGGCTCCCCCACCTCCATGTGACCAGGCACTAAATTTTTAATGTCGACCCTCTAATTTTACTTTTAACACCACAGCGCTAGCAAGAAAAATCTGTAGTTGAGAACAAGTTCATTCCTTGTTTTTGCTTTAGATACGCCGTTTGCTAAGATAAATATTCACCACAATAGAGGGTTTCGTTAAAGTATTTACATCTTAATTACCGAGAAATGAAATCAACCCATTTGAACAGAAACCAAACAAACAACTTCGTGCTGCAAAATTGGATATGCAAACAATTTGCACTGTTGTATTCCTTTCATACGGTGGAAGCGTTAATAGACAGATTTAGAACCACGTTTAAGGCAAAAAGGCAAACTTCAACTTATGTCAGGTGATATAGTCTTCCCCTTACTTATTGTTTATCTTATTTTCTCGAATAAGCGCCGCGGCGTTTATTTCATCTTTCACGCCTCAAATGTTGCGCCTATTCGAGAGTGGTGCATATTAGAGGACTGTGTTTATTTGAAAGCTGCATGCGACAAAGAATTACTTTAACCACGGTATTGTTATTTTCCGTAACAAGATAACAGAATTTGATTATATCGGGGCCGCGGCACATATTTGAGTAAATACGGTCCTCTTCACTTAGGCTATAAGCAATTATTAATGAATTATGTTGCAGTCCGCTCCTTTCCAAATTTGAGAAATTGTCAACTTGACTCTTACCTTTGCCGTTTGTCGTCAACGTGATTCTAAATCATTTCAAAAATGTTCTTCCATTTTGCAACAAGTTCATATGTTGATCATTTTTATCTTGCACTACGCATTACTTATTCAGATCCTTGTTATCTTGGCTCGCTGATTGTGACGCCATTAAGTCAAAAACTCTCCTCGTGTTTTCAGCTGAGGCCCTGGCTACCTCCTCTGCATCAACTCCAAGACATTTTGCCACGATGTGCGCCACGATGGGTAAAGTGCAGGGCTCGTTTCGTCCTCGCTTGCATCTTTTAAGAAGAGATTTACAAACATCATCCAGCTCTTTATCAGAGGCGTTTGGCGTCATGTAGGGAGCATTGCTTTCAAGCAGAATTCTGTCGAGAGGAAGCACTCCTTCTTTGAGAGCATCGCGCAAAGCTTTGCCTGGGACCTCTGAAGACAGCAAAACAAATTTGATTAGAAAGTGCAGATATGAGAAAGAGATGCAAGCAAAACCCTTACAATCCAGAGAGTGACCAGGGCCTAAATTTGGTACTTTTTTTATAGTCAAACATAACGAGCACTGCTGTAATGAAGTGAAAGGTCTCAACATTTCATTTAACTTCTGATCTGAACTACAATTCTAAGAATACTGAACACTCACCTTTGCAAATAAAACCACAGATTCCAATATAGAATCCCATTGAAACATAAGCGCTCATTTCAGAAACACTGCCAGTAAAGCAGTGGATCACAATAGAAGGTAATCTGCCACTAAACTGGCTCAAAACTTCAATGAACTTCTGGTGGGAACCTCGCTCATGAGCCAAAAGTGGTTTCTGAACTTCACAAGCAATGGCAACCTGACAAGAAAAAAATGCAGGCCATTCAATGTTACAATGTAAATTAGAGACATGAGGGCTGTGTTATGCAGACTGTAGGTTACGAGAACACGGGAGTCAATACGCTGCATTCTTTATTGAATTCGCCACAGTGATTCAACACGGTGACAGGGGATGAAACAGTACTTGCATCCTGATATCATCCCCTTCATTACCCACCCAGCCTACGAAAGGCTGTACCACACTACCGGGGTCTATGCCCCCTACTCTTTACGATCAGCAGTGTGGGTTCTTTCAAGTCCCACAAGAATCAGAACAGTGAAAGAGCTGCCGGACAGGGCCTACAGTTTTTCATCCTTATATGAGAAGACTGGAATGTCTAACCATTAATCTTGTAGATGTCAAAACAAAGGCAGTACATTCTCCTCAGGTATTTTAAGACCCTGAGCGTTGGTCTAGCCAGGGTTTAAACTCACAACCTCCTGCTCGGCAGACCGGCGCTTATCCAATTTGTCTAGCCAGGCAAAGGTTGGCTTGACCTTGAAAATGAGCCTGTATCTAGCAGACATCTCTATCATGTGGACACTAGCAAGGGTGACCTCTGGGCATCATCTACACAAAAATTCTCCAGACTGATCCCCAAACATTCTTAAAAGAATTAGTTGAAAACAAACAAAACAAACAAACTAAAAAAATGTGATTATAAATGAACAAATTGATTGACTGCTTGATTGACTGATTGACTAACTGATTGCTTCCTTGCTTGCTTGTATAATAAACACTTAATGACTGTTCTGTCAGGAAACAATTAATTTTGTTTCCCTCAAATCTCAGTGTTTCCCTTGGCTTCAGCTTGGTTGAGATTCTCGGCAAACAAAATTAACTGTTTCCTGAGGGACCAATCTTTAAGAGGAAATTTTGACACTGGAAAATATACATAAAACCTCACTGCAAAGGCCGTAGTCAGTCAATATTCGTGGGTTACAGTGTATTGTTACCCTCTGACGTCATAGATTGTATGCAATGGTGCTTGCTCAGAGATTTTGGCAGGAAACAGTTTCATTGTTAGATGTCGTATGTCCTTGAAGCAACCAATGAGAGTGCATGTTGTTGGGAAGAAATTTCCAGCTATATAACAATTAATTTATTGGCTGGGTGACTAATTGCTGGATTGATTGATTACATGCAATAATGATTAACTGATTGATTTAAGACAAGACCTGTTTTGTGAATGCTTCAATCTGGGCCTTTTCTGATGAATAATTCTTGTGAAAATCCAACCCAACTTCACCAATGGCCACTACTACAGGATCCTTAGCTAATTCTTCAATCTCTTTTGCGGTTTTACTGTTCCATTCTTTCTCTGTAAAATGCGGATGTACCCCTACTGAAGCAAACAGCACCCTAGGATATGCCTTGGCTTGAAGGACAGCTGACTGGCTCATCTGTAGGGTATTCCCTGTAAGAATCATTTGCTTGATTCCAACAACTCCTGCTTGCTCTATCACATTTCGAATGTCTCTTGCAAAGCTAATTTTTAATGTCGACCCTCTAATTTTACTTTTAACACCACAGCGCTAGCAAGAAAAATCTGTAGTTGAGAACAAGTTCATTCCTTGTTTTTGCTTTAGATACGCCGTTTGCTAAGATAAATATTCACCACAATAGAGGGTTTCGTTAAAGTATTTACATCTTAATTACCGAGAAATGAAATCAACCCATTTGAACAGAAACCAAACAAACAACTTCGTGCTGCAAAATTGGATATGCAAACAATTTGCACTGTTGTATTCCTTTCATACGGTGGAAGCGTTAATAGACAGATTTAGAACCACGTTTAAGGCAAAAAGGCAAACTTCAACTTATGTCAGGTGATATAGTCTTCCCCTTACTTATTGTTTATCTTATTTTCTCGAATAAGCGCCGCGGCGTTTATTTCATCTTTCACGCCTCAAATGTTGCGCCTATTCGAGAGTGGTGCATATTAGAGGACTGTGTTTATTTGAAAGCTGCATGCGACAAAGAATTACTTTAACCACGGTATTGTTATTTTCCGTAACAAGATAACAGAATTTGATTATATCGGGGCCGCGGCACATATTTGAGTAAATACGGTCCTCTTCACTTAGGCTATAAGCAATTATTAATGAATTATGTTGCAGTCCGCTCCTTTCCAAATTTGAGAAATTGTCAACTTGACTCTTACCTTTGCCGTTTGTCGTCAACGTGATTCTAAATCATTTCAAAAATGTTCTTCCATTTTGCAACAAGTTCATATGTTGATCATTTTTATCTTGCACTACGCATTACTTATTCAGATCCTTGTTATCTTGGCTCGCTGATTGTGACGCCATTAAGTCAAAAACTCTCCTCGTGTTTTCAGCTGAGGCCCTGGCTACCTCCTCTGCATCAACTCCAAGACATTTTGCCACGATGTGCGCCACGATGGGTAAAGTGCAGGGCTCGTTTCGTCCTCGCTTGCATCTTTTAAGAAGAGATTTACAAACATCATCCAGCTCTTTATCAGAGGCGTTTGGCGTCATGTAGGGAGCATTGCTTTCAAGCAGAATTCTGTCGAGAGGAAGCACTCCTTCTTTGAGAGCATCGCGCAAAGCTTTGCCTGGGACCTCTGAAGACAGCAAAACAAATTTGATTAGAAAGTGCAGATATGAGAAAGAGATGCAAGCAAAACCCTTACAATCCAGAGAGTGACCAGGGCCTAAATTTGGTACTTTTTTTATAGTCAAACATAACGAGCACTGCTGTAATGAAGTGAAAGGTCTCAACATTTCATTTAACTTCTGATCTGAACTACAATTCTAAGAATACTGAACACTCACCTTTGCAAATAAAACCACAGATTCCAATATAGAATCCCATTGAAACATAAGCGCTCATTTCAGAAACACTGCCAGTAAAGCAGTGGATCACAATAGAAGGTAATCTGCCACTAAACTGGCTCAAAACTTCAATGAACTTCTGGTGGGAACCTCGCTCATGAGCCAAAAGTGGTTTCTGAACTTCACAAGCAATGGCAACCTGACAAGAAAAAAATGCAGGCCATTCAATGTTACAATGTAAATTAGAGACATGAGGGCTGTGTTATGCAGACTGTAGGTTACGAGAACACGGGAGTCAATACGCTGCATTCTTTATTGAATTCGCCACAGTGATTCAACACGGTGACAGGGGATGAAACAGTACTTGCATCCTGATATCATCCCCTTCATTACCCACCCAGCCTACGAAAGGCTGTACCACACTACCGGGGTCTATGCCCCCTACTCTTTACGATCAGCAGTGTGGGTTCTTTCAAGTCCCACAAGAATCAGAACAGTGAAAGAGCTGCCGGACAGGGCCTACAGTTTTTCATCCTTATATGAGAAGACTGGAATGTCTAACCATTAATCTTGTAGATGTCAAAACAAAGGCAGTACATTCTCCTCAGGTATTTTAAGACCCTGAGCGTTGGTCTAGCCAGGGTTTAAACTCACAACCTCCTGCTCGGCAGACCGGCGCTTATCCAATTTGTCTAGCCAGGCAAAGGTTGGCTTGACCTTGAAAATGAGCCTGTATCTAGCAGACATCTCTATCATGTGGACACTAGCAAGGGTGACCTCTGGGCATCATCTACACAAAAATTCTCCAGACTGATCCCCAAACATTCTTAAAAGAATTAGTTGAAAACAAACAAAACAAACAAACTAAAAAAATGTGATTATAAATGAACAAATTGATTGACTGCTTGATTGACTGATTGACTAACTGATTGCTTCCTTGCTTGCTTGTATAATAAACACTTAATGACTGTTCTGTCAGGAAACAATTAATTTTGTTTCCCTCAAATCTCAGTGTTTCCCTTGGCTTCAGCTTGGTTGAGATTCTCGGCAAACAAAATTAACTGTTTCCTGAGGGACCAATCTTTAAGAGGAAATTTTGACACTGGAAAATATACATAAAACCTCACTGCAAAGGCCGTAGTCAGTCAATATTCGTGGGTTACAGTGTATTGTTACCCTCTGACGTCATAGATTGTATGCAATGGTGCTTGCTCAGAGATTTTGGCAGGAAACAGTTTCATTGTTAGATGTCGTATGTCCTTGAAGCAACCAATGAGAGTGCATGTTGTTGGGAAGAAATTTCCAGCTATATAACAATTAATTTATTGGCTGGGTGACTAATTGCTGGATTGATTGATTACATGCAATAATGATTAACTGATTGATTTAAGACAAGACCTGTTTTGTGAATGCTTCAATCTGGGCCTTTTCTGATGAATAATTCTTGTGAAAATCCAACCCAACTTCACCAATGGCCACTACTACAGGATCCTTAGCTAATTCTTCAATCTCTTTTGCGGTTTTACTGTTCCATTCTTTCTCTGTAAAATGCGGATGTACCCCTACTGAAGCAAACAGCACCCTAGGATATGCCTTGGCTTGAAGGACAGCTGACTGGCTCATCTGTAGGGTATTCCCTGTAAGAATCATTTGCTTGATTCCAACAACTCCTGCTTGCTCTATCACATTTCGAATGTCTCTTGCAAAGCTAAGAAATGTTACAAGAAGAAGAAGCAAAATAAGATCTTAGTATAAATGCTTAAAAAGCGTTAAAAATGCTAGTAAATTATTACATAGTATAAGCGAAGACTTGAAAACTGCCAAATGGAAACATAACAAGCAAATATCACTCAAGGGAGACTCATAACAAATGCGTCTTTTTAATAGTTCAAAATATCAGATCAAATTTTTCCAAGACCCACATAATCCTTTGGGCCACAGGGTCCAGAGGAGTTTCGTGTGAATAAATGAATTACTTACCTTGAAAAATGTCTATACCTGTCGCTTAGCACCATTAATTAGCCCAATGGGATCTTTATAAATCTACTGTAAATGACTTCCTCACTTCTTATCTGACCCAGATTGACTTTTGAAAATCAATAACCGCAAGCCATATCCTCGCTGGCGCACTGCAAGTCGCCCGAAAGGCGACCGAGGCACGAAGTGCCGAGTAAAAGAAAGGACAAGGGAGGAAACTTGTACCACGTGACTTCATTTGCTGTGAACCGCATCACTTGGTGACGGAAGTGAATGAGACCGGAAACGCAAAAGCAACAGAACGCTGCTAATTCGAGAATCAAAACATCAGCAGCGGAGAGAGTTTTAAAGATCTCTTTTTAAAGATCTTTCAAGACTGGACATTTGTTGTACGTTTCAACAGTCTTTGATGTCTTAAGCAGGTTTTGCTTGGGCGAAGGCTTCCCAGTAGTCGCAAAACGCACAGCCAAAGATGCAAGATGTAATATAGTTGGACCACCGAAGAATGACACAGTCATGATGATATTACAGTTGCCTTGTGCGTCCGCTCTACTCAGTGTCACTTTTTATTGCAAGAGTACACACGACCTGTAAATCACTATCCGTAATAATTTAACATTCTTCAAACAAAACTAACAAGCTGGGACTAGCATGATACAGCATTGAAGAAAAACATTACATTCACTGACTAAAGGAAATAGCTTAGTTATTCAGATCCAGACGGCACTTTGGAGAAAATTGGAACCCTTGTTCAGCCGTAATAAAAAGCTTTACACTTCAAAAGAGGTCAAAGAAAATGCGCTCGCATCAGAGGGCAAATCCTGCCGACCAGAAACAAAAACCACAGTAAATCGATATGACGTGTCATGACCTCTAAGTGTGAAACATGCGGCTAAAATCCCCGCTAAAATCACATTTGCTGTAGAACCTTCCACAGCATAATCTACCCAGCAGAGGAAAAAAACTTTACTGGAAGGAGCAGCATTTTGGCATGAGGCAAAAGTCGTGTAGGCTTCCCTTTTATTGCTCCGATCTTGAGCACATTTACTTTACTACATCATAACCATCACCATCTGTTGTGGTGCACAGCGAACGAAAGCGCTATCTCGAAGGCGTAAATTTCGGTCACAGAAAATGAATTTGAACACTTTTTTATGCCATTTTCCTACAGTATTTGGCAAATACATAAGAATTCTAAATCAGGTTAGTAAAATCAGGTGATTTCATTCAATTCCATTTGAGTTTCAGGGATTCGAAAATTGGCCCCAAATTTGTTTCCTCCCTTTCCGTATTTTATACTGTAAGCCGATCTTGCGAGCCCTCAGTCTCTTGGTTTGCGGTCTATAGAATGTGTAACGAAACCGTAACGCGATCAAAATAACCCATTTTTTTAGAGGTTTTCGACTGGTTTTGATGTTCTAACGACAAACACATCTCCTCTGGACCCTGTGTTTGGGCATTATCTTCTGTCCCTATACAAGATAAAAAAAATAATTACAATGGAACCATGTTAATAGGGTCACCAATAAGCAAAAAAAAATTTTGCTGTATTAACAGGTGACCGTATTAACAAGGTTTTTTTTTTTTCACAAGAAAACGTAAGGCCATTTTGCCAGGCTGCCAAAAAAAAGTGGCCGTAATAATGAGGTGACTGTATTACTGAGGTGGCTGTAAGGCAGGGTTCCACATTATATGTCTGTCTGACATGAAAATCACAAATCATTATTTCAGGAAAAATCATCAGCGCTGGGCATTGTAACCATGAACCACAAGACCAAAAACTGCAGAGCGCAAATTGTTTTTATCAATAAGTGGGTGAAATATTTTGACAGTGATTGACGTTTTGACAACCTCCGCAGTAGTTGTCCTGAGTCAAAGTAAGCTAATTGTTTCACATCAGTTGGTGGTATTTAATTCTCGTTATTGACCTGAATAATCAATTAAATCACGATGTTATTGGCTTTGAAGACTCCAAGTCTGATTGCTGCGCTTTGATCTCTCTCTGGACACAAAACATGAAAAAGTAGTTTTGTTGTTAGTCAAATTGTTGGTTGTCCAGTCATTCTATTACTGTCAGTTTTTATTGAGTTCGATAACCAGAGTTTAATTAATACCATCAAATGACATCCTTGATACAACTCAATTGAAAAAAATTGTATAACACAACTTACACTTTGTTTGGCAAATTTACACCCACATCAATAAGCTGCAAAACCCTGTCCTCGGGAATTTTCACAACATCGTTAGGACCCTGAGGGCGGCGCCTGTTTTTTGAATTCTTTGGGAAACAATAATTGCTTGTGTTGTAGCTGTAACTAGCAAGCTGAGGTATAAGATAGGAAGGTGGTATCATAGACGGAATGGACACTCTTCCACTGTAGCTAGCTCTAGAGTTCCTTGCTGGTTGAACTTTGATGAATTTGTCATGAAGCTTAGTTCCATTTAGTTGAAGTAAGTGATCTGGAAAAGAAACAATAAATGAATATACATGTACACATAATTTCAAAATGGAAACAAAAGACTATATTACTTTTCATAAGTAGGAAGAATATTATTGTCTAGATGAGTATACATGTAGTCCTGAATAAAGACTATTTTAAATAGTTATAGTCACTGATGTTTTGAACCTGTCCAGTAGTTATATTTATGTTTGTTATCCCTAAATACCTTGATTGCACTTGCAGCATTTAAAAAAATTTCTACCTAGAAGGAGGACAACAAGGGCCAATTATCACAACCAAAATTATAAGGTGTATACATATGGAACAATAATCAAATGAATGACAGTCTTTGAAGAGCTACCTGTACCGGACCAGAACTCCTAGAAGGATGCATGCACAAAATTACCAGCTACACTACACTATAAGTGGTTGTCTTCTCACATTTAACTGGTGAGTGGTAATAATTATCATGTTTAATATTAACAGGGCTTCTGATATTTTGCGCGGTCGTGGACTCGCGAAATTCAGGTATTTTCACGAAATCCCGCAAAATTCCCCAAAAAACGCGAAATACCACGAAATCCGCCAGAAATATTTCCAACTACATGTCGGCAAAACATACTTAATACTTATCTTGGCTATTAGACCGGTTTTATTCACCCCAAACCTCCAAATTTAGCTTGAAACTTCGTCACTGCAACGAGTAAACAACGTCCCAAAACTACCAGGCGTTTTTAGATGAACGTTGCGAAAAACTGGGCACTAACCATAATGTTAATAGCTTTAACATTCGCTCATTTCTGGAGCGAACAGTTATTGAAAGAGCAAATGATTATCCCCGTTAAAAAAAACGTTTACCAACGTTGGTCATATCAACGCAAAATTGATCGATTTTAGCGAAATTTGCCAAAAAAAAAAACCAGTGAAATCGGCTGTTTTTTACTGATTGTTTCTTGGCGAAGTTTCCCCCCGAAATTTCCCCTGAAATTGGCCGATTTCCTAAGCATTTGCCCCTGAAAATCCTTCGAAAATTGACTTCTTTCCGCTAAAATCCCGCGAAATGGGCTGATTGTTCCGCGAATTTTAACTTTTCTCCCGCGAAAATCGCCCGATTGTTCCGCGAATTTTGACTTTTTTCCCGTGAAAATCCCGCGAAATCGGCCGATTTTTCTGCGAATTTGCCCCTGAAAATCCCGCAAAATTTTGCTTTTTTTTCCGTGAAATATCAGAAGCCCTGTATTAATGTATGTGCTTCAAAAGAATAGATGAAACTTACTGGAAAGATGTTCAGGAACGTTGATAAATGCAAAGCCTTGTGGTTCAACAGCTAATTCAATCCACGATGATGAGCGGAGATATGGTGTAGCATCAAGACCAAAGTGATGGGCCAAGTCTTCTTTGGAAGTCTTCGGGGGAAGATTTCCTGTATAGATCGTACAAATAAATAACACATCAAATGAGAATACAGCTACTTCAAACAATTTCCTGAATGCCACCAAAACAAATTTACTGGTGTTTTTAAGAAAGGGCTTAGAATTTGCCCCTTATTTGCACTGTCCATTAAACAACTTGTTTGCTGCCTAACCCCAAGCCCTCACCGAAAAAATAAAATACACAAGATAAGCATTGGTAGGTGCAGTGCTAGGGAGGGGAAGGTACTCAAGGGAAGTTTGAGTAGAGGTGTCCCGCCAAAGACTTCAAAACCTTCTGACCCTGTTTAGGACAAACATTGCTCATTTTGCTACCCTGTTTAAGACAAGAGACCTTACTTATTTCATGATCCTGATTCATTATTTTCATTTTACATACAGAATACAAATGTACTAGGGTATTTTTTAAACTAATATCACAGAAGTAAATTTTTTGGAAAAAATTGTTCACGCCACTTGTAAATGAAGACGGCTCATCTGCAGCCTTCACACTCTTTGAAAGGCTTCTGGTCCAAAACCACACCCTGAAATAGTGAAATGGTACTATATACAGGGCTCAAAGTTTAAATTTGAGTTTGTGCTACCAGATGTAAATATTTAGGTGCACTGCCGAAATTTTAGGCGCACAGCTGAAAATTTTAGGAGCACAGCTTATAATGTTGGGAGCATCTATTTCAAAAGACAAAGTAAAAAGCTTAACAGTGCCAAGTTTATTTGTCATCTTCAGTTTGTTATTTTTACTTCAGTCGGGTGACTGATAAAACACAGCCGATTTGCTATGCAGTAATACCGTTGTGATTTTCAATACTAACTTCTCTTTTCGACAGTACAGTTGTGACTAAAGAAAACTTACACTTGAAAAACAATTCAAAACTGACAACGATGAGTGTGTCGAACGAGAATGAAAATTAATGTTTAATGAATTTGTTAAATGCGCAATGACTTACATGTAACTGGAATACGACTTAAAAAACTTTCTTACCTGGAAAAAAAGGCTCTTAATCCGCACTGTTTTTGTTTTGATTGTCGTTAAAACTGAACGTTCGACATGATCGTCCATTGCGCAAAAAGTACGTATTTCGTTTGTAGCATACATTTGCATGTGTCAGCCGTGTTTATTACAAAACAGAAGAGTCTGGGATGGAGTAAAACATCGAAACGAAAAAGAACATTCCAGTTCGTAGAATCCATTGGCAGAAAGACCAATTAAACGTACACCATCTTTCTAGTTCAAGTTCGTAAATATAGTCAGAAGTAAGTCAGTCGCACTGTGCTTTGGGGTTTATGGCGCACAGGTGCGATTACACATGAATTTTTAGGCGCACAACCAAAAATCCAGTCGCATATGCGACCAGTTAGTCGCTAACTTTGAGCCCTGATATACAGCTATTTCGAGAAAGGTTGTCGGAAAAAGTACACGCGACAATCCTGAAAGGCATTGTGGGTGGTTTTAAGTTCACTATTCTTTGAAGAAATTTGAAAGAATTGGTACGAAAGGCTGTGGAAATGTGTTTGCGAGTACTAAAGGAAAGCAACAAAAGTAGGTTCGACAGGTACAGTCGTCAGAAACAGTGTATTAATCATATCCCCTATTACCTTTCGGGATTGTCGTGTGCACATTTTTCGGACAACCTTTCTCGAAATAGCTGTACATGTACTTTGTTTAAGATTGACTCAAGACCCTGGAAACCATACCCGGTTCAGTGGCACATATCTGCCTAGAATGAATAAGGGTGTTTTTGTACCTACAAACAGGCTTGGTCAAAGGGGGTAGAAGGAAAAAAATAAACCCAAGATACCAAGATAAGATACCAATATACCTAAAAATTGTAAAATCTTTTATACCGAATACCTGAAATTGCCTTGAAACAAAACACTGTATACCTAAAAATTATTTGTCAGGTATTGAGAGATAACAACACCCAGATATAGTGTAGACATTTTGGTGCACTGCAGCCGGTCACAAGTTTTTTCCATTCCCTCCTTTGCCAGCTCATGGTGAAGTTCTGAGAATGTTTCGATCATATACACTTTATAAAAGTATACAAAAAAACTCGTGTCTAAATACCAAAAATCTAGGAAAACAAGATACTTTCTACTTGTATAGTAACACCAAAATGCCTTGTATCCAAAACCGCGCCTGTTCAATGATACCATTAGGGTTAGAAACTGAAGAGTGAGCTGCAGTGTTCCAGTTAGGGCCATACTTCAGGAAGAACTGAACTTCGTTTTCTAACCCTAATCACTAAACGGCGTTCTGCAAAATACCCTTGCCGCCTCGAAAACGTATTCCATTCCCCACAAGAATTGCAGAATGTTCAAAAATTATGTCCAGACATTCGGATGAATGGCCCCGCGCCAACACGTGGGCGACATGACCAAGTCGCGAATACGGTCTACGAAGCTTGCTGATTCGTCTTTATATTTCTGTTTATCTACCCTCACTTTTACTTAAATCCAACCTTCCACACCACCCATTTAAAAACGCGACGACTTTTCAGGAGTAAAGAAAGCCTATTTTTCAGTGAATGAGTGCGCGCGTCAACAAAATGTTTCTCACCCCTCGATTTCGAAATGTGGCGATGGCAAAATGAAAGCATTATGAAAGCAAAGCGGAGGAAAACGCAGCAAAAGCAGATACAGAATAAAGTGCAAAACAACAGGAAAGTATGGGAAAACAATTCAAACAGCAATTTTGGGTAGAAATTTCAGCTAAAAAGAGGTGACGAATTTTGGGTCTTCATCAGCGAAAAAGCTCGATTCGACGAAGTCGTTTCAAGGTATTTAAAGCAAAAATACTCAGATAAAGCAAAATTGCGTCAACTCACCGACGTAGAAGCGTCTGCTTGTTGCCATTCTTTAGAGTAACTGAAAAAAAGGCGCAGTGCAAAGAAGCTATTAAGGTCCAATAATCTTCACCTCTTCAAGCGAAGCCAGCCAGCTGATCTATCGGATCTGGACAAGTCACGCATTCGGATTGCACGTGATTGGCCAACATATCGATGGCGGGAATCGTTCGTTCTTTGTGCTTTCTCACGGCTTTGTGAACGCCTAGGGTAGGCCCGGGCAGGGGAAGCGGGGGGGGGGTACTTGGGTTAATTTTTGCCGGGTATGTGCACTGGCCTCTCAGAGCCCCTACCCCATTATAGTCTATTTTGTGGCCTATTATAGATCCCATCTTAGTCACTTTTAGGCATATATGTAATTTTCGCCATCCTAACTTAGAAACGAGAACGAGAAGTCCAAAGCCACTGAAAAGCTGATTTAAGACAACGTGTATTGTTTTTTATAACAATATTTTGGCATAGGCGGCGGAGCGGGGGGGCAAGGGAAGGGGGGGGGGGTGGTACCGAAAACACTTTTACGATTGTTGACTTCGGCGCCTTCAGACCGCAAACGCACATTTCTACCCTCCGACGACTCAAAAACTACCTAAAAAGCACCATGAATCAGAACCGCCTGAACAAGCTTAAACAGCTGCCTCCAGATGAATTGCCACAAATCGATTACGGACCCACTAGACCCCGTAAAGATGGAAAAACTATCTTTATGCCTTGGCTTGAAGGACAGCTGACTGGCTCATCTGTAGGGTATTCCCTGTAAGAATCATTTGCTTGATTCCAACAACTCCTGCTTGCTCTATCACATTTCGAATGTCTCTTGCAAAGCTAAGAAATGTTACAAGAAGAAGAAGCAAAATAAGATCTTAGTATAAATGCTTAAAAAGCGTTAAAAATGCTAGTAAATTATTACATAGTATAAGCGAAGACTTGAAAACTGCCAAATGGAAACATAACAAGCAAATATCACTCAAGGGAGACTCATAACAAATGCGTCTTTTTAATAGTTCAAAATATCAGATCAAATTTTTCCAAGACCCACATAATCCTTTGGGCCACAGGGTCCAGAGGAGTTTCGTGTGAATAAATGAATTACTTACCTTGAAAAATGTCTATACCTGTCGCTTAGCACCATTAATTAGCCCAATGGGATCTTTATAAATCTACTGTAAATGACTTCCTCACTTCTTATCTGACCCAGATTGACTTTTGAAAATCAATAACCGCAAGCCATATCCTCGCTGGCGCACTGCAAGTCGCCCGAAAGGCGACCGAGGCACGAAGTGCCGAGTAAAAGAAAGGACAAGGGAGGAAACTTGTACCACGTGACTTCATTTGCTGTGAACCGCATCACTTGGTGACGGAAGTGAATGAGACCGGAAACGCAAAAGCAACAGAACGCTGCTAATTCGAGAATCAAAACATCAGCAGCGGAGAGAGTTTTAAAGATCTCTTTTTAAAGATCTTTCAAGACTGGACATTTGTTGTACGTTTCAACAGTCTTTGATGTCTTAAGCAGGTTTTGCTTGGGCGAAGGCTTCCCAGTAGTCGCAAAACGCACAGCCAAAGATGCAAGATGTAATATAGTTGGACCACCGAAGAATGACACAGTCATGATGATATTACAGTTGCCTTGTGCGTCCGCTCTACTCAGTGTCACTTTTTATTGCAAGAGTACACACGACCTGTAAATCACTATCCGTAATAATTTAACATTCTTCAAACAAAACTAACAAGCTGGGACTAGCATGATACAGCATTGAAGAAAAACATTACATTCACTGACTAAAGGAAATAGCTTAGTTATTCAGATCCAGACGGCACTTTGGAGAAAATTGGAACCCTTGTTCAGCCGTAATAAAAAGCTTTACACTTCAAAAGAGGTCAAAGAAAATGCGCTCGCATCAGAGGGCAAATCCTGCCGACCAGAAACAAAAACCACAGTAAATCGATATGACGTGTCATGACCTCTAAGTGTGAAACATGCGGCTAAAATCCCCGCTAAAATCACATTTGCTGTAGAACCTTCCACAGCATAATCTACCCAGCAGAGGAAAAAAACTTTACTGGAAGGAGCAGCATTTTGGCATGAGGCAAAAGTCGTGTAGGCTTCCCTTTTATTGCTCCGATCTTGAGCACATTTACTTTACTACATCATAACCATCACCATCTGTTGTGGTGCACAGCGAACGAAAGCGCTATCTCGAAGGCGTAAATTTCGGTCACAGAAAATGAATTTGAACACTTTTTTATGCCATTTTCCTACAGTATTTGGCAAATACATAAGAATTCTAAATCAGGTTAGTAAAATCAGGTGATTTCATTCAATTCCATTTGAGTTTCAGGGATTCGAAAATTGGCCCCAAATTTGTTTCCTCCCTTTCCGTATTTTATACTGTAAGCCGATCTTGCGAGCCCTCAGTCTCTTGGTTTGCGGTCTATAGAATGTGTAACGAAACCGTAACGCG